AAACCTAATAGACATCTATATAACTCTCCACCTCAAATCCACAGAATATACATTTTTCTCAGCACTACATAGCACTTATTCTAAAATTGACCACATAATTGGAAGTAAATCACTCTTCAGCAAATGCAAAAGAACAGAAAACATAACAATCAGTCTCTCAGACCACAGTGCAATCAAATTAGAAATCAGGAGTAAGAAACTCACTCAAAACCACACAACTGCATGGAAACTGAACAACCTGCTCCTGAATGACAACTGGATAAATAATGAAATGAAGGCAGAAATAAAGATGTTCTTCAAAACCAATGAGAATGAAGACACAACATACCAGAATCTCTGGGACACATTTAAAGCACTGTCTAGAGGGAAATTTATAGGACTAAATGCCCACATGAGCAGCGAGGAAAGATCTAAAATTTACACCCTATCACAACTAAAAGAACTAGAGGAGGAAGATCAAACAAATTGAAAAGCTAGCAGAACACAAGAAATAACTAAGATCAGAGCCATACTGAAGGAGACAGACACACACACAAACCTTCAAAAAATCAATGAATCCAGGAGCTGTTTTTTTTTTAAAAGAAGATCAACAAAATAGATAGACTGCTAGCCAGACTAATAAAAAAGAAAAGAGAGAAGAATCAAATAGATACAATAAAAAATGATAAAGGGGATATCACCAATTCCATAGAAATACAAACTAGCGTCAGAGATTACTACAAACATCCCTATTCACATAACCCAGTAAATCTAGAAGAAATGGATAACTTCCTGGACACTTACACCCTCCCAAGACTAAATCAGGAAGAAGCTGAATCCCTGCATAGACGAATAACGAAGTCTGAGGTTGAAGCAGCAATTAATACCCTACCAACCAAAAAAAGTCCAGGACCAGATGGGTTCACAGCCAAATTCTACCAGACAGACAAAGAGGAGCTAGTACGATTCCTCTGAAACTATTCCAAACAATAAAAAAGAGGGAATCCTCCCTAACTCATTTTATGAGACCAATGTCATCTCCTGATACCAAAACCTGGCAGAGACACAACCAAAAAAATTTCGGGCCAGTATCCATGATGAACATTGATGCAAAAATCTTTGATAAAATACTGGCAAACTGAATCCGACAGCACATCAAAAAGCTTATCCTTCACGATTGAGTCACCTTCATCCCAGGGATGCAAGGCTGGTTCAGCATACACAAATCAATAAGCGTAATCCATCACATAAAGGGAACCAAAGACAAAAACCACATGATCATCTCAATAGATGCAGAGAAGGCCTTCGACAAAATCCAATAGCCCTTTATGCTAAAGACCCTCAATAAACTAGGTATGGATGAAATGTATCTCAAAATAATAACACTATTGATGAAAAACCTATAGCCAATATCATACAGAATGGGCAAAAACTGGAAGGATTCCCTTTGAAAACTGGCAATAGACAAGGGTGCCCTCTCTCACCATTCCTATTCAACATAGTATTAGAAGTTCTGGCCAGGGCAATCAGGCAAGAAAAAGAAATATAGGGTATTTAGTTAGGAAAAGAGGAAATCAAATTGTCTCTGTTTGCAAATAACATGATTATATATTTAGAAGACCCCATTGTCTCAGTCCAAAATCTCCTTATGATAAGCAACTTCAGCAAAGTCTCAGGTTACAAAATCAATGTGCAAAAATCACAAGCATTCCTATACACCAATAACAGAGAGCCAAATCATAATAACAGAGAGCCAAATCATGAGCAAACTCCCATTCACAGTTGCTACAAAGAGAATAAAATACCTAGGAATACAACTAACAAGGGGTGTGAATGAAGGACCTCTTCAAGGAGAACTAAAAACCACTGCTCAAGGAAATAAGAGGGGACACAAACAGATGGAAAAAACATTCCATGCTCATGGTTAGGAAGAATCAATATCATGAAAATGGCCATACCGCCCGAAGTAATTTATAGATTCAGTGCTATCCCCATCAAGCTACTATTGCCTTTCTTCACAGAATTGGAAAAAAACACTTTAAATTTCATATGGAATCAGAAAAGAGCCCACATAGCCAAGACAATCCTAAGCGAAAAGAACAAAGCTGGAGGCTTCATGCTACCTGACTTCAAACTATACTACAATGCTGCAGTAATCAAAACAGCATGGTACTGTTACCAAAGCAGAGATACAGACCAGGGGAACAGAACAGAGACCTTGGAAGTAATGCCACACATCTACAACCATCTCATCTTTGACAAACCTGACAAAAACAAGCAATGGGGAAAGGAGTCCCTGTTTTAATAAATGATGTTGGGAAAACTGGCTAGCCATGTGCAGAAAGCTGAAACTGGACCCCTTCCTTACACGTTATACAGACATTAACCCAGTTGGATTAAAGGTTTAAACATAAGACCTAACACCATAAAAACCGTAGAAGAAAACCTAGGCAATACCGTTCAGGACATAGGCATAGGCAAGGACTCAATGAGTAAAACACGAAAAGCAATGGCAACAAAAGTCAAAATAGACAATTGTATCTAATTAAACTGAAGAACTTCTGTACAGCAAAAGAAACAATCATTCGAGTTAACTGGCAACCAACAGAATGGGAAAAACTGTTTGCAATCTACCCATCTGACAAAGGGCTAATATCCAGAATCTACAAAGAACTAAAACAAATGAACAAGAAAAAGACAACCACATCAGAAAGTGAGCAAAGGATATGATCACTTTTCAAAAGAAGACATACATGAGGCCAACAAACATGAAAAAATGCTCATCATCACTGGTCGTTTGAGAAATGCAAATCAAAATCACATTGAGATACCATCTCATGCCAGTTAGAATGGCAGTCCTTAAAAAACCTGGAGACAATAGATGCTGGAGAGGATGTAGAGAAATAGGAACACTTTTACACTGTTGGTGGGAGGGTAATTAATTCAAGCATGTGGAAGACAGTGTGGCGATTCCTCAAGGATCTAGAAATGGAAATTCCATTTGACCCAGCAATCCCATTACTGGGTATATACCCAAAGGATTATAAATCGTCCTATTATAAAGACACATGCACACATATGTTCATTGCAGCACTGTTTACAATAATAGAGACTTGGAACCAATCAAAATGCCCATTAGTGATAGACTGGATAAAGAAAATATGGTACATATACACCATGGAATAATGTGCAGCCATAAAAAAGGATGAGTTCATGTCCTTTGCAGGGATGGGTGAATCTGGAAACCATCATCCTCAGCAAACTGACACAAGAACAGAAAACCAAACACTGCATATTCTCACTTATAAGTGCGTGTTGAACAGTGAGAACACATGGACACAAGAGGGGACCATCACACACTGGGGCCTGTTGGGAAGTAGGGGGAGGCTAGGGGAAGGATAGCAGAAGGTGGGGGAATTGGGAAGGGATAACATTAGGAGAAATACCTGGTATAGGTGATGGGGGGATGGATGTGGCAAACCACCATGACATTGTGTATCTTTGTAACAATCCTGCACAACCTGCACATGTACCCCAGAACTTAAAGTATAATAAAAAATAAAAATAAATGTGGATGATGAGGAGTCCACAATTTTATCACTAAGAGAAAAAAGCCAAAACATGTCAAAATAAATAGGCAATGCATAGTTAGCTAAATATGTCGCTATCTGATGTTATTTCAAGTCAGGTTAATAAAATAAATTTTGTCTAGGAGGTGGTAAATCTAGAAGAAATCTATTAACAATGGTAAGAAATTTGTATTTTTTTTTAAATGAAATTCTCTAACCTATTGGTGATATTTATTGAAGCAGAGGCTCTTAATGGGTTGTTAGTTCCTCAAAGTAACTGGGATAAATATGGAAATTTGGACATATTTATATGCAATAATGACAATATCCTAGATTTCTGGAATACATATGAAATAGTTCCAATTAATTTGCCGGATGGTCCCTGTGATTCCCCACCCCTGCCCCACCATGCTGTTTAAAATTTAAATTTCAATTTGACATTTCTTTGCAAAACAGCTGAAGCATCTATTGTCTTCTTTTAGCAAGGGTGAGTTTTGTTTATAAAGTTAAAAAGAGAATAGTCACTGAGATATATTCTACATAAGCTAATAATTTTTTTCTACTTATTAAAATACATAATTTGATAATCCTAAAGTGTCTGGAATTAAAGACAACAGTCTTAACAGGAATTGAGCCTCTAGTTGTGTACAATTAAATTGCCTATTGAAATAGATTTTCCAGAAATCTGTGACATTTTAGACTACCCAGCAGTTTCTTTTATTCTGGCAGTTGGGTATATATACAGGTTCTATCTGAACTTTAAAATAATTTTTTTAAAGATACTTGAGTTTGTAATTTCTAAAAATTTATTTTCATTGTGGTAAAATATACATAACAGGAAATTTACCCTTTAATTTTTTTTTTTAGGACTCACTTTGTTATCTAGGCTGGAGGGCAGTGGTGCTATCTCTGCTCACTGCAGCCTCAGCCTCCTGGGGTCAAAAGATCCTCCCAAGTTAGCTTCCCAAGTAGCTGGGACTAGAGCATAAGCAACCATGCCCAGCTCTCTTTAGCCATTTTTAAGTGTGTAATTTAGTGGCATTAAGTACATTCACAGTGTTAAGCAACCATCACCAGCATCTATTTAAGCCAAAATTTAGAAGACAAATTGTAATATGCTTCAGTAGAAAGGAACTTCATTCTTTTTTTAAGGCCAAATAATATTCTGTCTTATTGTATATGTGATGTTCTGTTTATCTGTTCAGCTTTGACAGTTGAGGTGAGTTTGCAGGTAGCATAAATAAATTACTCACCATGGAATCAAAAGTATAAACATGATTAAATAAATGTTGATCCTGTAAGAGAGCTTATAAATGACCAATGATGTGTAGGTTACATCCGTGAAAGCTTCTCTTACCTTGCTGTCAAATGGAGCATTAGATGTAACTTAAGACATCAAGGCTTAAAGTAACTATCTCAGTACCAATAACTTTATTCTTTTTTCTGTTACAGATCCAGACTTTACTTACCTAGGAGGTATTTTAAATCCCATTCCAGGTTTAGTATACTACCACTTGTTCCTCTTGGCATTTTTGGTCAGTCATATGTTCCTTTGAACACCTTTCACGTATTCCTTCTAGATTGTCAGTTCGAGCTCTCGGGAGCTGATGGAATAGTGCGCTCTAGTCAGGTAGAACAAGAAGAGAAAACGAAACCTGGCCAAGCTGTTGATTGCATCTGGACCATTAAAGCCACTCCAAAAGCTAAGGTATTATTAGGTATTAAGTCACTTTAGAGAAAAAGATGATAAGGCATGATTTGCAAAATGTGTTATTTTGGTTTGTGAAAATATGTATTGATTACATAAACTGATATTGTAACTTTTTAGAATATATTTTATTTCACTTACTTTATTGGCACCTACTAAGATCCCAGCATTGTTGTAGTTAAATAAACTGGAATTTCTGAAGTTTTTTAGGAATATTACACATATATTAAGATTCACAATTTTTAAAAATTAAGATTCTTCACCAAGTGCAGTGGCTCACACCTGAAATCCCAGCACTTTGGGAGGCCGAGGTGGGTGGATCACGAGGTCAGGAGTTCAAGACAAGCCTAGCCAAGATGGTGAAACCCATCTCTACTAAAACTACAAAAATTAGATGGGCACGGTGGCGAATGCCTGTAATCCCGGCTTCTCAGGAGGCTGAAGCAGGAGAATCACTTGAACCTGGGCGGCAGAGGTTGCAGTGAGCTGTGATCATATCACTGCACTCCAGCCTGGGTGACAGAGTGAGACTCCATCTCAGAAAGAAAAAAAAAAATAAGACCTGTCAGTTCCTAATTGCTGAGTGTGTTTATTGATCAGTATGATTATAGACTCATTAACATCTTTATGAGGAGGAAAATAGGCTACAAGAGGTGAAAGTTACAGAGTTGGTCGTAGCGATCTAAAAATAAAACCCCAAATGTGTCGAGTCTTCATTCTGTTTTTACCCTGCTGTCCTCTGCTACTCATGGGGCGCTTTTATTGGAAAGAACTGCAGGGAAGGATGTTTTAAAATAACTCCGACAGATTGAGATTGGATACTGACTACTTTTGCATTTAATTTATACTTCTAGGAATATCAACAGAGTTAAAATTATATTTAATGCGTATTATGTAAAAAGTGGGAAAAGAGGAGAGAGTGAGGGTGGGAAAACATATAGCTCTCAAGAATTGTGAAAATCAGATTTAAAGATTAAGTAATATGATAGATAAGGTAACCTGAAACCCCATCTACTAGAAGACACTGGGAAACATTGGGTAAAATATGACAAATAATTCTTTTAAAAGCATATGTGTAAGCTCCAGGAAGGAGAAAAAGCGGGTAATGCTTGTGGACAGGAAATGGAGATAACTACAAATTAATAAACCAAAATTGATGTTACAAATGCTCCTGGCTGATTTTCATAACATGTTATGACACAGAGGTAGACAGCTGGGAGCTTGCTTTTAATTCCTACACTAAGAAAAGAAGAGTCCTGTAGTTCACCTGGCCTTCATGAGACTCACATGAAGCTGGAGCCCTCAAAGGGAGGTGATTCACACGAAAGCATAGATTAGAAAAAGTCTTCCACTGGCACATGCTGATGACAGAGAAGCTTGTTTTTCTGGGTTTGGTCTCAGGGTGGGGTTGGGGGTGAGGCTGGGGTCCCCCCTAGCTTTGTACTTAGAACCTGCCTTTATTAGGGTTTGAGAAATGAATTTACACTCCCTGCTCAACCCAGGAGTCACTAAGTCCAAAAGCTAACAAATCATCCTGGGTGCATAAAACCTTTGCGTCACCTGGCAAAAATAAATTTAAAAATCACCAAGGAAGCTTCAGGGTTGGCATGGATAAAACATTGTTGCAGGTCAGCTCATGGCCCCCAAATTCTAAAACCCCTGTGCTCACAGCCCCCCATGGGTACAAGTTTGCCGATGTAACAGACAGGAAGGAGTTCCTTAGCTCCCCAAGAACTTGAGTGTTTCACATATCCTACAAGAAGGAAATGAAAAGATAATAAAGAAAAATGACCACATCCATTTTTAAAATAACCAAATAGGTCAGTAAGTTAAAAGTATGGTTATGAAAAGATATATCTGAGGAATTACCCAGAGAATAGTGCTGGGAAAGGTGATAGTTTATTAGGATTTTCCAGAACTGATAGTCTGTAGTGCATAAGCCTGATGCCCTGTGTTCATGCACACACGTGACATGTGCCTCCCTCCAGCCTTGTTACCATGTCAGTACATAGCCTATCTTACATGAAAAGGAAAAAAAGAAAAACAATTCAAGAACTGATGGAAAGCATGACACAGGGTGACTCCCAAACAGGAAAAAAAAAAAAAAATTTAAGTGACACTGACATGGTACCCCAGAGACAAGGAGAAAAGTTTTTAAAAACAGAGAAAATAGTCTACAAAGGGATGCTATTAAGGTTGACACCAGAATTATCAATAGCAAAATGGAAGCCCGAAGACAATAGAATACTGTCTTCATAGTGTTAAGAGTGTTAATTGTCATTTAAGAATGAAGGCAGTGGTGGGGATGTGGGGATGATTAATGGGTACAAAAATATAATTAGATAGAATTAATATCTGGTATTCAATAGCACACATGGTGACTACAGTCAACAATTTATTGTACAGTTTTTAAAATAAGAGTATAATTTGGGTATTTGTAACACACATGATAAATGCTCAAGATGATGGGTACCCCATTTATACTGATGTAGTTATTATACACTGTGTACCTATATTGTAATATCTGATGTACTCCATAAAGATACTATCATATACCCATAAAAATAAAAAATAATTAGGGCAAAATTAAGGTATTTCTCTGCAAAATAATAAGTTAACCAAATGCTACAGTTAATATACAGATGTATCCAACAAGATACATGTGTAATTACAGGAAAATTAAAACACATAAAACTAGAAAAGAAGTAACAGACAAATGTCAGAAAAGAGCTGATGTAACTATTAAGATAGAAATCAAGAATGTCATTATCTCACAAGATATAATTTAAAATAATTTAAAGGTATTAATATAGCCTTAAAATGCACAAAACACAGATTGATGATTCCAAAGGAAGATTGACAAATCCACAACAGTGAGTAATTTTTTTTAACCTCTTAGTAATTAACAGGTCAAACATACAAAAAAATTACTATGGCTCAAAAGATTTAAATAACACAGTATATTCTTAATGGACATGTTATCTTGCTCCCAACATCCAGATAATAGGCATACATAACACATTTATCGAAACAGATACATATGCTCAGCTAACAAAGTCTGAACATATATGCAGAGCAGCCTGTGACAAAAATGCAATTAAACCAAGAATCGGCAACCAAAGATTATTTTAAAACTCTGTATGTTTGGAAATATATACTACTTAGTAATTTGTAAGTCACAGAAGAAATTAGGATGGAAATTTAAATACATTTAAAATGCATTAATAATGAAAATACTATATATAAAAAACTGAGGTACAGCTAAAACAGTACCTTGAGAAAAAAGATTGAAATGTAATAAGATTGAACTCAAGAAGTTAAAAACAAATCCAAAGAAAGGGCAACAATCATAAGACAGAAATTAAAAAAAAAAAAAGATACAAAAAGAGGAAATCAGTGAGGCCTGACATTGACTCTTTATAAAAGATAACAATAGGCCAACTTCTGCCAAGATTGATCTAGAAAAAAAGACATAAAAAGTATTAGAAATGGAGGAGTTATAAATCAACTACCGCAAAGATTTAAAACTATTATGAGACAAACCAACTAGAAAGTAGACCTACCTAACAAAAGAGGAGAAAAACTATGTTTCTTTATAAATAAATGATAATGGGAAAAAGGAAAATCAGGAGTCTATAGATTAAAACAGATATAAAAGTCAAGTGAATTTATGGATTTAAACAAACTATAAATGGAGGGAACTGATGACATTAAAAGACATTTAGAAGTTTGAACACTGGTATGTAATATTAAGTTATTTATTTTTGGGAGTTGATAATAGGATAAACGTTATTTTTTAAGTGGCTTTAGTGATACAGAAATGTTTACAGATGCAATGATTTAATGTCTGAGATTTGTCTCTAATATGTAAGGGGTAGAAGTGAGGAGAGACAGATAAAATAAGATTGGCTAGGTTATAATTGTTGAAGTTGGAGGCTGGATACACAGATATATTTTGTCTGTTTTTGCATACTTGAAATTTTAATAAGTGTTTTAGACTATTATAAGAATATTATAAACTGATTTGTCAGTAATTTGTAAAGGGTATAAATGGTAATGTTCGAAGAATATGGAGGGAATCTCTGTTTTTTTCTCTCTTAGTCAGAACTCACAACAGGTTGGGAGACTAAAATTCTAAGGAAAACTTGTCTTTCTGGCCAGAAGAACTGGGTGGAGGAGACCCTGTTGTCATCTAGAGAATATGAAGGAAGTCTTGGAGAGGAGAGAACTAATTCAGGCTTTACTTCTGAGGTGCCTGTGTGTGAAACAGATCCAGGGAAACTTGGCAGCAGTGTTGGGAGCCACCTTACAATATAAACCACCTCTAAGTCCCTGAGTGAGTCATATGCTGGGCAAGCCTACCCAGCACAGCAAAGTCTTTGAACGTTGGGACCACCACCCAAACAAAGTGAGACAGAACGTGCAGTCTGAACACAACTTAGTTGATTGCGGAACCAAAACAAATAACAAAAAATGACATCCTCCAGGGATTTTTAACAGGATCCATAGTTGCATAGTAGTCAAAATGTCCAGGACACAGTGAAAAATTAGGAAATGAAAACTAGGAAAATTTGTTAATTTTAAAGGAAAGGCAAATAGATCCCCAAAACAGACACCAGATTTTAGAATTATCCAAAATTGTTTTTTAAATTTTTTAAAAATAGAAATGGGGTCTCACAGTGTTGCCTAGGCTGATCTCAAACTCCTGAGCTCAAGTAATCCTCCTGCCTTGGCCTTCCAAAGTGCGAGGATTACAAATGTGAGCTACCATGCCCAGCCAGAATTATCAAAAATTCTAAAGCAATGATAGAACCATGCTTCACGAGATAGCAGTAAACACTCCTGAAGAGTGGGAAAATAGGACTCAGCAGAGAAATTAATTTTTTAAGTGGAAAATTTAGAACTAAAAGAAAAATCTGAATTTTTAACAAATATAATCACTGTATGGGCTCAATAGGAAAACGGAGAAAATAGAAAGTCACTGAACTTGAAGATGAATC